GTCTAACCGTTCCATCATGTCGTTCACATATACCAAAAATAGCACTGGTCCTAGGACCGACCCCTGTGGGACCCCGCTCGTCACAGGTGCCCATTGTGATACATCATTACGTACCATGACTCGTTGTTGCCTCCCTGCCAGGTATTCTCTGATCCACTGCAGTGCCCTTCCTGTTATATGAGCCTGATCCTCTAGCTTCTGCACTAATATCTTGTGAGGAACTGTGTCAAAGGCCTTCTTGCAGTCCAAGAAGATGCAATCAACCCACCCCTCTCTCTCTTGTCTTCTGTTACTTTATCATAAAACTCCAGAAGGTTTGTGTGTGTGTGTGTGTGTGTGTGTGTGTGTGTGTGTGTGTGTGTGTGTGTGTGTGTGTGTGTGTGTGTGTGTGTGGTGTGTGTGTGTGTGTGTGTGTGTGTGTGTGTGTGTTTGTATATGTATTTTATGGCTCAATGAGTTGAGTTACCCACACTGTCAAAGTGCTTTGACAATATCACAACGACTACTGCTACAACTACTACTACTATAACTACTACTACTGCGAGTTACGAGTTACAACTTAGTGGTGTTAAAACTGTGGTAGAACAAAAGTAGGTCCACTGCACAACACTTCAGTGTACATTAAAGAATTGGAGCTGAAGAGCAGTATATTGACATAGGAGAATGAAACTTATAACGACTTGCATGCGGGCTATTTGTGCATTGTTCCTGTCACGATAGTGTGCCTTTCTATACAGAGAGAAGCCAGGGTTAGTCCTAAGTTTGCCTAAGAAACTCTTCCATTATATGAGCTTTATGGAAACAGTGTATCATGCCAAGACAAATCCTATCCCACTACTAAATTTACCATTTGTAATATTATTATGTGATACGTACCACCTCACTATTATAAATCTCATTGTGTATGTACCTAATTGGGTATGCATTTACTTATGTATCTAATAATGTATGTTCAAATATACTGCTCCGTAACCTATGTCAATTAGTCTGCCCGAAATGCCTTTGTAATTAATATTTTAGAACATGTTACCCACACATTGTAAGCTTTACAAGGAAATAAAGATTTTGAATTTTTATATTGATTTTGAGCCAATGCTCCAGTTGGATATAAGTCACTTTGTCTGACTTTTTTAGATTATCCTAGGTAATTTACAATATGTATGGTAATTGTACTTATGTGTACCTAATAGACCCCTGGATGTCTTCAAGAAGGCGCTGGACAGGCACCTAGCAGTTCTTACGTCGGTTTACGTACGGCCAGCAGTAATAGCCTGGTTAATCAGACCATGATCCACTACAAGGCCTGGTCTCAGGCCGGGCCGCTGGGGCGTTGATCCCCGAAACCCTCTCCATGTATTTTTATATATATATATATTATATATATATATATATATATATATATATATATATATTTATATATATATATATATTGCGCTATGTGAATGCATCATATACACATGCATATATTCTCATACAAAAAAGAGGAAACATCCATGCGCATTCATGCATGCAGCTACATACGTATACACATATGCACAAGTGTATATATTCACATGTATACATATGCAAACGTACTTATATATACACATCAGGAGGAAGACAACAAAGATCAGGCGATCAGGCTGAGGAAATAAGGTGGGGAACTCACAAGAAACTATCACGAAGTATGTGAGGAGCTCAACATGAGATTTAAGGAAGTATGTATTTACAGTAGAGACAGGAAAGAAGGCTTTGGGAAGACAGCACAGAGGGGAACACGAACAGGAAATATACCATCAAGTATTGGATGACATACAAACAATGGAGGAGGAGGTGCAGAAGCTGCTAAGTGACCTTGATACCTTAAAGGCGATGGGTCCGGACATGGGTCCTTAGAGAAGGAGCAGAGAAGCTGTGCGTGCCACTAACCACAATCTTCAATACATCCCTTGAAACTGGGCAACTATCTGAGGTATGGAAGACGGCAAATGTAGTTCCCATTTTTAAGAAAGGGGACAGAAACGAGGCACTAAACTACAGACCAGTGTCTCTGACGTGTATAGTATGCAAAGTCATGGAGAAGATTATCAGGACGAGAGTAGTGGAGCACCTGGAACGGAACGAGATTATAAACGACAACCAGCACAGATTCATGGAAGTTAGTTTAATATGTTTATTATGCACCCCATACCCATCCTGTGTGCGGTAGTCAAAAGATTACAGAGGTACATAATGGGTCCAGTGACTGGGCCTCAAAGTTTTGATGGCTGAGCAAGTTACAGAGGTAATGAATTCACAATTTACAAAGGTAATGAACTCCAGGTAGGTCTAGTCACAATCATGACAAGTTACAAAGGTATTAACAGATTATAGAGGTACACAATGGGTCCAGGGACTGGGCCCCAAAGTTTTGATGGCTGAACTAGGTACAAGGTAATGAACTCACAAGTTACAAAGGTAATGAATACTGTAAGAATGGTTACTTGCGTTATACATGGCTACAATCATGAACAAATTTTAGAGTAATGAGCAATTCACACTTTTACACCGGTCACAACTGTAGTGAGTTATGGTGCAAATATTGATTGTTGAGTCACACACACACACACACACACACACACACACACACACACACACACACACACACACACACACACACACACACACACACACACACACACACACACACACACACACACACACACACCCAACACACACACACACACACACACACAACACACACACACACACACACACACACACACACACACACACACACACACACACACACACACACACATACACAAACTCATACACACACACACACACTCATGCACCTGTGTCACAAACCTTCTGAAGTTCTATGACAATGTAACAGAAGTAAGACACGAGAAGGGTGGGTTGATTACATTTTCCTGGACTGCAGGAAGGCCTTCGACACAGTTCCTCACAGGAGATTAGTGCAGAAGCTTGAGGACCAGGAGTGTATAACAGGAAGGGCACTGCAATGGATCAGAGAATACCTGACAGGGAGGCAACAACGAGTCATGGTACATGATGAGGTATCACAGTGGGCGCCTGTGACGAGCGGGGTCCCACAGAGGTCGGTCCTAGGACCAGTGCTATTTTTGATATATGTGAATGACATGATGGGAGGGATATCTGAAGTGTCCCTGTTCGCAGATGATGTTAGTTAATGAGAAGAATTAAATCAGATGAGGATCAGGCAGGACTACAAAGTGACTTGGACAAACTGGACACGTGGTCCAGCAACTGGCTTGTCGAATTCAACCCTGCCAAATGCAAAGTCATGAAGACTGAGGAAAGGCAAAGAAGACCGCAGATAAAGTATAGACTTGGTGGACAAAGACGGCAAACCTCACTCAAGGAGAAAGATCTTGGGGTGACCATAACACCGAGCACATCTCCGGAGGCACACATCAACCAGATAACTGCTGCAGCATATGGGCGCCTGGAAAACCTGAGAACAGCGTTCCTATACCTTAGTAAGGAATCTTTCAAGACACTGTACACTGTTCAACTGCCTCCCAGCACACATAAGGTGGATTACCAACAGACCCCTGGCAGTCTTCAAGCTGGCACTGGACAAGCACCTAAAGTCAGTTCCTGATCAGCCGGGCTGTGGCTCGTACGTTGGTTTGCGTGCAGCCAGCAGCAACAGCCTGGTTGATCAGGGGCTGATCCACCAGGAGGCCTGGTCACAGACCGGGCCGCGGGGGCGTTGACCCCCGAAACTCTCTCCAGGTAAACTGCGTACGTCAGGCTCATACTGGGGTATGCAGCACGAGTTTGGAACCCACACCTAGTCAAGCACGTCAAGAAATTCGAGAAAGGTTTGCAACAAGGCTAGTTCCAGAGCTCAGGGGAATGTCCTACGAAGAAAGGTTGGGGGAAATCGGACTGACGACACTAGAGGACAGGCGGGTCAGTGAAAACATGATAACGACAAACAAAAAACTGCGTGGAATAGATAAGGTGGGCAGAGACAGGATGTTCCAGTGAGGGGACACAGAAACAAGGGGTCGCAATTGGAAGCTGAAGACTCAGACGAGTCACAGGGATGTTAGGAAGTATTTCTTCAGTCACCGAGTCGTCAGGAAGTGGAATAGCCTATCAAGTGATGTAGTGGAGGCAGGAAGCAGAGAGGACCTAGTAGCGATAAGTGAAGAGGCGGGGCCAGGAACTGAGTCTCGACCCTTGCAACCACAATTAGGTGAGTACAATTAGGTGCGTACATAGTACATACATACGCATAGGTATACAGCTGCACAGGCATGGATGAAAAAGTTTACATATGGATATACAAACACATGCGCACTGCGCACACAAATAAATACATTGTGTACACATGAAAAAGTGCATACGCACAGTAATACATACTTAAACGTGCATACACAGGTATACACTTTTTGTTTTATTTCCATGCTCACCCTATGCTGTTCCTTTAGCATTCATGGAGGTAGAGGAGGCTAGGCTTATATTGATTGTTTTTATTGACGGACGTAAAACTGACATTTAAAGTAAGATATAAAACAGAGGCGATGAAAATAATTCTAATTTGTCTTCCCTGAAATATCCTACGTTAAAGCCTCATCACTTAAAAACAACTGCTTACTTAAACAATGATATGTAAAATGCAAAAATGTAAATCATTTGTAACTTTTTTCCCAGTAATAATGTCAAACTGAATGGATATCTAACTCTTCATGATCTCAGATTTAGACAGGGCTTCAAATATTTTTTACCTTGTCAGGTTACTAGGAAAACTGTTTATTGTTAATGGAGCAAACAAAGGTTTTGAACAGTAGTTTGCTCACACTCCATTGGTAAACCAAAGGCACAATTTTGACGTGGCACTGTGGATGATACGCGCATCTCTCCGTTTAGTAAGGTTAACCCCCATAGAGTGTGGTCAGTAAGAGGATGGATGGATACAACTAGGATACATGTTAACTTCTGGCCACGACCACTGAGATAACCCAGAGGCTTCACTCGGCCCGGCCCTACAGGGCATAGAAAAGCGCGCGTCGTATGAATATATTCTCCCCAAAACCCCGCAATTATTAAACATCTGATATCCCAGTGAATACAGTCTTAATAAACAAGAATTTAGGAACGTACTCGTATGCGAAAATATGAAATCGAAGGCATTTTGTGTGAGGAATGATATCTAGGTGAAAACAAGTTTTGCGGATCTTCGTGGCGTCTGCTTCAGGTCTGAAAACAAACCCAAACAAATATGGCAGATTCAGAAGACCAGTTGCGGGTAACACATACATTTTAATGTTTAGGGGCCAGAGTAGTATTCTTTAAAGCGGGTGTGTGACCATTTTCAAGTAGAAACAAAATATATAATGAGTGTTCCTCTTCAGCGGCGGAAATAATGTTAATGGGTACTAAACCAAGAATATATATTATGCGTGGTTTCTATTGGAGAATTTTAAGGCTAGTTTGTTTTTGGTTTGAAGGTGTGAGTAAGAGTATTGAGATTAACGTGTGTCTAGATGTTGAGTGATGATAGGTGTGGGTACTAGTGTTAGTGTGTGATTAATGTACGTTTAGATGAGTGAAATTGTAGGTCCAGGAAATGTGCTTGTTTTCAGTATTATGTGGACTATTGTACCTCACCTCAGCTGACACATGGACTCCTGTGCATGTACTTTGGGATCCATCAATATTCATACAGCCACTTAACTGATGTATATGCTTGTATCTTCACTCGTTATTCTCACATGCACTTGTAACTGTTGTGTATGCTAGTGTCTTTACTTATTCTTGCCACCACTCATAATGTGTATGCTTGTATCTTCCCTTCATAATTTTTACAGGTACTCCTAACTGTTGTGTATTCTTGTATTGTTGATTATTCATGCCGCCATTCATAACTTTTGTATTCTGGTATCTTAATTCTTACAAGCACCCGAAACGTGTATACTTGTACCTATATTTATTATTTGTATGACGCTCATAATTGGTGTTAGTTGAAGTCATAGACTTTGCAAATCACCAAAGTTGTAGTATTATTCAGGCAGCAGGTTCAGTGACTTGTTAAAATAGAACCATCAGTTATTCAACAACGTAAACCTAAGTTCATGTTATGTTAGTCTAGTTCTTGTCATTAGTGTGTTGAATTTATACATGGAAGAACACTGCGCAAGTAGAGAAATGAAGACTTAATCGGATTAATCAAAGACTTGGAGTAATGATGAGATCGCTGGCATGCATATGCTTGTATCTTCAGTTATTATTCACTCAGTTGCTCATAACTTTTTTATGCTGGTACAACATCTCTCATTATTTTTACAGGTTCTCTCAATTGATTTATGAAATTGTTGTATTGTTATTGTTAAAAGAGAATATTAAAACTGGCTCCGTTGAATACATTGCATGCTAAATATTCAGTGATTGTGAATAGGTAGTGTAATTTTTAGTTTAGTCTTTATTATGCACCCCATACATATCCTGTGGGTGGTAGTCAAAAGATTATAGAAGCCAGGGACTAGGTCACAAAGTTTTAATAGCTAAACAAGTTAGTGATAATGAACTATTTTCATGTTTATTTATGGTTACATCATAACTACTTATTTATGCAGACAAATTAAGTCACAAAAATATTACATATATTACCTTATGTGAATAGTAGGCTGGATTTGTTATTTGCAGATCAACTCTGTATTGATAAGTTATGCACTAGCAGTATGAAATTGCAAATAGCATAACTGTTGTGGGTGTCAAATATGGACAAGTAATGTGAGTACCAGTGTACATATGTAAATGGGTCAGATATTTAAGTGTTGCAAACAGCCTCAGTCATGTTTTAATCATATTAAATCTTGGCACTTTTTTGCTTGTGTACCCTTCAAGGGGGTTACCTCGATGCCGGTGAAGAGCTCTTGTTGCAAGGAATTAGAGCTACTCTTCCCTTTCTCAGATCTAGCCTTATTTCCTCCCATTCCCAGGCACTATGACCTCTCTGGGTTTAGCGCTTTTCCATAAATATAACAACAAGAACTATGAGATGTAATTGAACATGAACTGTAATATGTATAGTGGTGTAACAGTATGAATTTTATCCAGAAAAATTGAACAAAAATTAGATTTAAAACTTTGATTTATTTATTTATTTTACAGAAATTTCATACAGGCATTCCATAATATTTTTATTTAAATTTCCATTGAGGGAGAAATTTCTTCAAAGGCTAGGTAAGGTTACTTTTTCAAGTTCTAGTTTAAGAATTTTAATGTATTGGTCTGTATTACTGGAGTCTTCATGTATGAATTTCAGTTAGTAATTTACTGTTAATAGCTCTAGGGATCACTGCTTCCATGGCCTGGTCCCAGACCATGTTGCCTAAATTATAAATAAAATACAATATTACAGGAATAAGAGCTATTAAGAAATACAGTGGAACTTCGGTTTTCATATGCCCTGATTTTTGTTGAGTTCAGTTTTTGACGACTTTTTCGTCAAAATTTTATCCAGTTTTCGTTCATCTGCACTGTTTTCGTTGAGTTGACAGTAGTCCACTGTACCAAATGCGTCTGCCTGCCTTGCCCACACAAAGCATCCCATGCATTCTGACTCGGTCTGGCTTTGTTTCTCGTCGAGTGAGCATTGAAGGGTTTGAGGCTGACCCTGATGACCCTGCTGCTATTGTGGAACGTATTGTGTCTTTGGGTAAGTCCATGGGGTTGGATGTGAGTGGCCAGGATGTGGAAGAGTTGGTGGACAACCACAGGGAAGAGCTAACCACTGAAGAGCTGCAGGACCTTCAACTGGAACAGCAACAGACCGCAGCTGAGGAAATTGCTTCAGAAGAGGAGGAAGAGAGAGGGGAAAATGTGCCTTCTTCAGTGATTAAGGACATGTGTGCAACAAAGCTGTTGCAAGCCATGTCTGCAACATGTTCAATGACAATGCCTTGTCCCATTTTAGGCAAATCTTAGAGATGCCAGAAACAGACCTCTCTGGGCAGATTTTTTGTGCAACAGGGGTTCAGTGCCAGTAAAAGACAAAGAAGGGAAGTAACCCCTGGATAGGGCCTTGATACCTGAAGTCCTTATGGAGGGGGATTCCCCTTCCATCCAATAACCTCTCCTCCCTCTCCCCTCCGAATTGTCTTCCATATGCCAATAAGTCTTCAGTAAAGGTAAAAGTGATGTTAATTGCTTATTTAGTCATTTATATTTATTTTTCATTGTTTTCTGTATGTAAAACTATAGTTATTCTCTATTAAATGTTTTTTTTGTTAATACTTTTGGGTGTCTGGAATGGATTAATTGGATTTACATTATTTCTTATGGGAAATATTGCTTCAGTTTTCGTACAATTCAGTTTTTGTCAGAAATTCTGGAATGAATTCATCATGAAAACCGAGGTTCCACTGTACTTGGAAAAATAGACAAGTGTGTACCGAAGATAAGTAGAAGTTTGAAAAAATTTGTTAGTGGTGTTAATGTTGCAGTTTTATAACTACAGTGGACCCCCGCATACCGTTGGCATCACATAATGTTAAATCCGCATACCGATACATTTTATCGCTAAGATTTTGCCTCGCATACCGCTAAAAACTCGCTCAACACTATTTATCCGAGACGCGTCTAATGTGCGGCCTGAGCCAGCCTCACATGTTCCGCCGGTGGCATTGTTTACAAGCCAGCCTCCGCGGTAACATCCAAGCATACAATCGGAACATTTCGTATTATTACAGCGTTTTTGGTGATTTTATCTGCAAAATAAGTGACATGGGCCCCAAGAAAGCTTCTAGTGCCACCTGTGGTAAAAGGGTGAGAAATATTATCGAAATACTGTGGTACCATGGTCAACTGCTGATGCTGCTGCTGCTGCTGTAGCACTGTCAGCAGCTGCTGCTGCTGCTGTAGCACCATCAGCTGCTGCTGCTGCACTGTCAGCTGCTGCTGTAACTGTCAGCAGCTGTCGCTCTGCTGCTGCTGCTGTACACTGCTGCTGCTGCTGTGCACCATTGCTGCTGCTGCTGTACCACGTCTGCTGCTGCTGCTGCTGTGCTGGTACGTCTGCTGCTGCTGTAGCATGTCTGCTGATGCTGTAGCACTGTCAGTGCTGCTGCTGCTGTAGTACCGTCTGCTGCTGCTGTTAGCACCCGTCTGCTGCTGCTGTAGCACTGTCAGCTGCTGCTGTAGCACTGTCGCTGCTGCTGTAGCACTGTCAGCTGCTGCTGTAGCACTGTCAGCTGCTGCTGTAGCACTGTCAGCTGCTGCTGTAGCACTGTCAGCTGCTGCTGTGCATGTCAGCTGCTGCTAGCACTGTCTGCTGCTGTAGCACTGTCAGCTGCTGCTGTAGCACTGTCAGCTGCTGCTGTAGCACTGTCAGCTGCTGCTGTAGCACTGTCAGCTGCTGCTGCTGCTGTAGCACTGTCAGCTGCTGCTGCTGCTGTAGCACTGTCAGCTGCTGCTGCTCTGTCAGCTGCTGCTGTAGCACCGTCAGCTGCTGCTGCTGCTGTAGCACCGTCAGCTGCTGCTGCTGTACCACCGTCAGCTGCTGCTGCTGTAGTAAAGTCTGCTGCTGCTGTAGCATCGTCTGCTGCTGCTGTAGCACTGTCAGCTGCTGCTGCTGCTGTAGCACCGTTGTTGGTGTGGCTTATTGAGAATACCAAGAAACAATTAACCCCAGAGGGTTAGCCACCCAGGATAACCCAAAAAAGTCAGTGTCATCGAAGACTGTCTAACTTATTTCCATTGGGGTCCTTAATCTTGTCAACCAGGATGCAACCCACACCAGTCGACTAACACCCAGGTGAACAGGGAAAACGCCTGAAACTAGTGCTCATATTGGTGAATTTAAAGCCAGCAAAGGTTGGTTTGAGAGATTTAAGAATCGTAGTGGCATACACAGTGTGATAAGGCCTGTTCTGGAAGAAAATGCCAAACAGGACCTACAGTACTCAGGAGGAAAAGGCACTCCCAGGACACAGTGTCTCTTCAGTCATTGCTGCATCTTCAATAAAGGTAAGTGTCATTTATTCTTCATTTAGTATAGTAGTACATGCACAATATATATTGTGCATGTATCCTTCTCTTTGTGTGTAGGAAAATGTATATTTCATGTGGTAAAATTTTTTTTTCATACTTTTGGGTGTCTTGCACGGATTAATTTGATTTCCATTATTTCTTATGGGGAAAATTCATTCTCATAACGATAATTTCGCATAACAATGAGCTCTCAGGAACGGATTAATATCGTTATGCGGGGGTCCACTGTATATTGTAAAGCACCCCTCTGGCAAG